TCATAGAATCATAGAGTTGGAAGAGACCACAAGGGCCATCGAGTCCAACCCTGCCAAGCAGGAAACACCATCAGAGCACTCCTGACATATGGCTGTCAAGCCTCTGCTTAAAGACCTCCAAAGAAGGAGACTCCACCACACTCCTTGGCAGCAAATTCCACTGTCGAACAGCTCTTACTGTCAGGAAGTTCTTCCTAATGTTTAGGTGGAATCTTCTTTCTTGTAGTTTGGATCCATTGCTCCGTGTCCGCTTCTCTGGAGCAGCAGAAAACAACCTTTCTCCCTCCTCTATGTGACATCCTTTTATATATTTGAACATGGCTATCATATCACCCCCTTAACCTCCTCTCTTCTCCAGGCTAAACATGCCCAGCTCCCTTAGCCGCTCCTCATAAGGCATCGTTTCCAGGCCTTTGACCATTTTGGTTGCCCTCCTCTGGACACGTTCCAGTTTGTCAGTGTCCTTCTTGAACTGTGGTGCCCAGAACTGGACACAGTACTCCAGGTGAGGTCTGACCAGAGCAGAATACAGTGGCACTATTACTTCCCTTGATCTAGATGCTATACTCCTATTGATGCAGCCCAGAATTGCATTGGCTTTTTTAGCTGCCGCATCACACTGTTGGCTCATGTCAAGTTTGTGGTCAACCAAGACTCCTAGATCCTTTTCACATGTACTGCTCTCAAGCCAGGTGTCACCCATCTTGTATTTGTGCCTCTCATTTTTTTTGCCCAAGTGCAATACTTTACATTTCTCCCTGTTAAAATTCATCTTGTTTGTTTTGGCCCAGTTCTCTAATCTGTCAAGGTCGTTTTGAAGTGTGATCCTGTCCTCTGGGGTGTTAGCCACCCCTCCCAGTTTGGTGTCATCTGCAAATTTGATCAGGATGCCCTTGAGTCCATCATCCAAGTCGTTGATAAAGATGTTGAATAAGACCGGCCCAAGACAGAACCCTGTGGCACCCCACTAGTCACTCTTCTCCAGGATGAAGAGGAACCATTGATGAGCACCCTTTGGGTTCGGTCAGTCAGCCAGTTACAAATCCACTGAGTGGTAGCATAGTCAAGACCGCATTTTACCAGCTTCTTTACAAGAATATCATGAGGCACCTTGTCAAATGCCTTGCTGAAATCAAGGTAGGCTACATCCACTGCGTTCCCTTCATCTACCAGGCTTGTAATTCTGTCAAAAACGAGATCAGGTTAGTCTGACATGACTTATTTTTCAGAAATCCATGCTGACTATTGGTGATCACAGCATTCCTTTCTAGGTGCTCACAGACTGTTTGCTTAATGATCTGCTCCAGAATCTTCCCTGGTATTGATGTCAGACTGACTGGGCGGTAATTATTTGGGTCCTCTCTTTTCCCCTTTTTGAAAATAGGGACAACATTTGCCCTCCTCCAGTCTGCCGGGACTTCGCCTGTTCTCCAGGAATTCTCAAAGATGACTGCCAGTGGTTCTGAGATCACATCTGCCAGTTCTTTTAATACTCTTGGATGCAGTTCATCTGGCCCTGAGACTTGAATACATCTAAACTAGCCAAGTATTCTTGTACTATCTCCTTAGTTATTCTGGGCTGTGTTTCCTCTGCTGAATCATTTGCTCCAAATTCTTCAGGTCGGGCATTGTTTTCTTTATCGGAGAAGACTGAGGCAAAGAAGGCATTGAGGAGTTCAGCCCTTTCTGTGTCCCCTGTTTGCATTTCACCATCTTCTCCTCTGAGTGACCCCACTGTTTCTTTGTTCTTCCTTTTGCTACGGACATACCCATAAAAGCCTTTTTTGTTGCTTTTAACCTCTCTAGCAAGCCTGAGTTCATTCTGTGCTTTAGCTTTTCTGACTTTGTGTCTACACGTGCTGGCTATTTGTTTGAATTCCTCTTTTTTGTACACATCCTTTTTTAATCTTAACTCAGTTAAAAGTTCTTTAGATAGCCACCCTGGCTTCTTTAGGCACCTTCCATGTTTCTGTCTCATTGGTATTGCCTGACGTTGTGCTTTTAGTATCTCCTCTTAACAAACTCCCAGCCATCATGAACTCCCTTTCCTTTTAGTATTACTGTCCATGGGATCTCACCCAGCACTTCCCTAAGTTTTATGAAGTCGGCTTTCTTAAAGTCAAGAAATTGAGTCCTAGTATGCTTGGCTGCTCCTTTCCGCTGTATAGTAAACTTCAGAAGAGCATGATCACTCGCGCCTAATGATCCTTCCACTTCTACCCCACTAACCAGGTCATCAACATTGGTTAGGACCAGATCTAAAATGGCTGTTCCTCTTGTTGCTTCTCCCACTTTCTGGACAATGAAGTTGTCTGCAAGGCCAGCGAGGAATCTGTTCTTGGGTATATCAGAGCCTAGTATTCCCAAAAGGAATACCTTAAACATTCTTTTAAGTTCCATGTAAATTACATTCTATAACTCCCTGATTTTCTTGCACTTCCACCACATGTGCAGCATTGAGCCTACCGCTTCTCCACATCTCCAGCATTTGCTTGAGACGTTTTTATACATTTTGGATAATTTTAATGGTGTCAGGTACTAGCGGTACTGCAGCTTCATAAAATTTTCTCTCTCAAGGTGTCTTCTGTCTATTGTCAGTATTTTTTGCTCTTGAGAATGAGGCTTTTCCCCTCCAAAAATGAAGGGAAATGTGTGTGCGGTCCTATGGAGCCGAATGCAGGCTTTCCTGGAGCTCCTGCAGCTCACGCGCCACCCTCCGGGATCCCGGCGCGGGAGCCGCGCGCGGGCTCCGGAGGGTGGCACGCGGAGCTGCCTGCGCTCCAGGGCTGCGGCTCCCGCGCCGCCTCCCGGACCCCGCGCGAGGCCGCGCGGTCCCGGAGGGCAGCGCGGAGCTGCCTGCGCCCAGGGGCTTCCTGCAGCTCCGCGCCACCCTCCCAGATCCGGCGCGGCCGCGCGGGCTCCGGAGGGTGGCGCGCGGGCTGCCTGCGCCCAGGGCTCTTGCAGCTCCGCGCCACCCTCCCGATCCCGGCGCGGCGCGCGCGGGGCTCCGGAGGGGTGGCGCGGAGCTGCCTGCGCCCCAGGGCTTCCTGCAGCTCCGCGCCACCCTCCCGATCCCGGCGCGAAGCCGCGCGGGCTCCGGAGCGTGGCGCGGAGCTGCCTGCAGCTCCAGGGCTTCCTGCAGCTCCGCGCCACCCTCCGGATCCCGGCGCGAGCCGCGCGGGGCTCCGGAGGGTGGCGCGGAGCTGCCTGCGCTCCAGGGCTTCTGCAGCTCCGCGCCACCCTCCCGATCCCGGCGCGGCGCGCGCGGGGCTCCGGAGGGTGGCGCGGAGCTGCCTGCGCTCCAGGGCTTCCTGCAGCCCGCGCCACCCTCCAGATCCCGGCGCGGCCGCGCGGGGCCCGGAGGGTGGCGCGGAGCCGCCTGCGCTCCAGGGCTTCCTGCAGCTCCGCGCCACCCTCCCGATCCCGGCGCGAGCCGCGCGGGGCTCGGGAGGGTGGCGCAGAGCTGCCTGCATTCCGAAGCCTGGTGCGCACTGAAGAGCGCGCCCGGGCCTCGCGCACCTCTCCACAAGCCTGGGGAGACCGGCTCGGTTCCCTAGGCTTGCGGATAGCAGGCTGTTCTGGGGGGCTGGGGTCGGGGGAAGCTCGGGCTTCCCCCGCGCCTGCCCCGTGCCTGGGGAGGGAATTTTTTTTTCTTTATTTCCCCCCCCCAAAAAAATAGGTACCTTGAACGCACCTTGTTTTAGAGGGAGAGAACAAGAAAAAAAAAATTTTCCCTGTTCTCCCCCTCCTATGATCCGGTGCGTCCTATGGTCCGGTGCGTCCAATGGTGCGAAAAATACGGTA